AAGAGTAGCATAAATTGTGGGGTATAGATTAGTCTGGCTTCCCAAGGAAAGGAGGTGGAGGTAACTCTCTCTAGATCCTGTTGTACGAGTCTTGAACCTCTGAGTTGACAGTAAGAATTTGCAGAGGTGTAAAGGTTTTTGAAAATAATTGTTTCTACAAAGTCAGTGAATGTGGGAAGCAGCGGGAAGAGGAGAAACCCTGTAATTGCCTTGCAGAAAAGGTAGGTGAGTTTTTGCTGTCTGGTGAATGCGAGGAGACAGTCTAAATTGTAAGAAGCTTCACTCTGAGCTGAGGTTGCCCTCAGAGAGCTGTTGCAATGAAACAGTCCTTGTTGACTCAGAGCTTGATGAAAATACTTGTCTAAAATACAGTGTTCCTAAGATCTGTCTCTAACAAAGGCCAAGAAAAATCTCATTGCCAATAGATGCAATTCTTCCAGGTTTTAATGCTGACGCTACAAAATGATCCTCCATCTTTGGAAACTGGTGTGCAAGATAAGGAGATGCTGAAGAAGTATGGGAAGTCATTTAGGAAGATGATTTCATCGTGCCTACAAAAAGACCCTGAAAAAAGGTAAGAACAGGTAACACCAAAACAAATTTAAAAAAACAACAAACAAACCTAAAACAAAACCACAAAACGCATTATATTCCATATTTTTTAAAGCGGGTACACTCTCTGCCCTTCCAGCCTTTCAGTCACAATGAACACAGCAATCTTGCTGTGTGGCAGCAAATTCTCTTGGCTGTCCTTATTTTTAAGGATAAATGTCTGGCATTGTGCCTGGCCAGGGCACACGTCTCCCATTTGGGTTAATGAGAGTGCATCCCAGTCCACTGCCTGTGTAGTGCCATTCTCCCCTTTGCCACCTCCAGCAGGTGACTGCAGTTCATGTTTTGTTCCCAGTCAAAACTGCTCTGTCTTTATAAATCAGAAATTACAGGTTGGGCAATGTGTGTTTACTTGTGAAGCTTCATAAATAAACTTTTCAAAATTTGCCAGTGCAGAGAAGGCTTTCAGTGTAGTTCTGGCGTGCTTAATTATAAGTAATATTTAGTTTGGGGGAGGAAAATCAGGAAAAACACTTGCAAATTTTACCAACATGTTTTCATCAATACAGATCGCTTACGTGACCTGATGATGCTTTCAGTCTTCCTTGTAGCAGTAGCTTGACTACTCGGTGATGTTAGAAATACTACCAACATGTTGTGGTTCCCAGGATAGCATTGTATCACTGTGTTATGGCATCGTTCAAAGCTGCGTGAGGGTCTGGCTGTCTACGGCACTGTTTAAAACCCACAGCCTGTCACATAGGAGAGCTCAGATGTATTTCTGTGGAGGACAGTCACGGCATTTCCCAGTCTCAGTGAGGCTGCTTAAATGAGTGTTCATCTTAGATTAAAAATAGTTGTCCTTAAAATGGAAAGCTAAGGAAACAAGCATTCCCACAGATCAGATTTTATACCTCTTAGTTTTCTTTTTTTCCCGAGTAAGAAAACTAATTCTGGAAAAGGAAAATTCCCTTCATAAAATAATAATAATGAAGACATTTTTCAGTTCCCTCCAGGAACAAAGGCTTCTCACGCATTGTGAGATGGGATCTCTCTCTTCTAACAAGCTTTACACTTGAAATGCTTAATGAATCCAGTGGAGTGCTTGATAAATGCTGATAGCGTGTGTTTTTTTTTTCCCAGCATGATGTGTTTTCTTCTTTCTAAAGCATATCGTATCCCTGCAGGTTAGAACGTGTGCTGATCAGAATTAAACATAATCACGTTGAATCATGGCATGCCCCTTCTCTCTTCTCAAGCACCACTAACAGCCGCTGTCATCATCCTGACTACGAGAGCAGGAGGCCAGCCCATAATGAGCAACTTGCAGAATCAGATATGCTTATGCATATTGTATGGGTTCTCAAAGAGGCAAATTTAGTGCAATTGCTTTTTAATTATTTTGGGGGCTCCCTTGCTATAAGGTGGATGATTTTTTTATTCGAGTACTCTGAGGTGAAATAAGCCCTTTGCTGAATGGCCTTTGCAAATCACTAATTAAACTCAGTTACTATTTAAGTACAGCCTGCAGTGGTGCTTTCTCATGTAGGCCTGGGTCTTTAGAAAGCCTTCTAAACTGACCAAAGGATGTCTTTTACTTTCCAGTAGTTATTCTGAAGTCTAAAATAAATAGGAAAATAGTTTATACTAGTTCCTTTTATCAGATGAATTTTGATCGTCCCGCCTGTGTTTAATAGAACTAATTACTCGCGTATAATCAAGTATCTCTGAAATAACTGTTACTTGCATGTGGTGAGTACTGCACTCCTGCTGTAGGTGGTGATCCTTCATTTCAATTTTGAGTAAATTGTTTCTGTGATCCCATCAAACTGGCTTGAAGAGACTCACTTTCAGCATTAAAATGGGAGCAACTTCTCCCCCTCTGCCCGAAGTTATTCGCAGCTTTTGAACAGAACAGGCTTTGATCAGAATACACGGTTTAAAAGACTACTGGCGTAAAGTTTATTTGGAATACACTGACTGATTTTTAGGGGAATTGTGCAGGAGAAGCCGGTGCTTTTATAAGATGCCATGTTACAACAAGCTGCAGCAACCTGGAAGACCGTTGTGTTGAAAGGGAGCATTTATATTTCTTTTCTACATCTGTTTTTATTGACAGACCGACAGCAGCGGAACTCTTAAGACACAAATTTTTCACGAAAGCAAAGGTAAGAAAACACTTCCTAAACTGATGTGTGCAGAGGCTGTGGAGAGGACTTGTCAGAAGTATGATCGGTATGGTGACAGCTTTATTGGCATCAGTGTGGGCTGTTTCACTTAGAGCCAGCATAGCTGAGTGAGTTGAATGGGTGATTGTGAACAAACAGAATGAAACCCCTCTTCTGTACCTCCTTGTGCATGCTGCTGTTAAAGAGAAATTATCTAGAAATTCTTCAGCATTTAAATGTCACTCAGTGGCTTTTGGGGTTTTTTCTTCTCTTGTAATGGTGCCATTCTGGCTGCGTGTCCAACCATAAAGGTCTCTGTGGTAGTAAATGTAACTTATATTTTAGTAAACTCTATAATCAGTCTGAATGCAAAGCAGTGAATGAGGCCCACTGTGCAGAACGCTACCTAAAACTATTTCACCCTGTGTTGCCTTATGGAAAGTGAAGATCCTGTGATACAAAATAGTAGGAAACTTCCATTTCTGGCCTTGATGTGAACTGCTGGTGAGCATTTATGTAATTACTGCCTGGAGATTAGCATGTATGCAATGTGCAAGGTCTTATTGAGGGAGACGGACAGAAATAATACAAGGGAGAATGTGTATGAGGAAATGTTTTCTGTTTGCTTGGTTTTTTTTGTTGCATGTTTGTGATCAAAATACACGGCAGAACACAGATTAAACTGTCAGAAAGATATACCTAGGATAGCACAGCAGCATCACCAATTAATTGAAGTAGTTTTTGGCTCCCAGATTAAGATGCTTAAAAGGAAGTGGCCACATCTAGATATCTGTATAGGAGCTGGATGTCCTATTAAAGTTGACAGAAATCTTAACATGTGCAACCAAGGAAGTCTAGAGAGTGATCCGGCTTATGAAATGCAGGAGTTTGCTTTAGGACAAGTTCAACTGATGTCTGGGCTCTTGACAGTATTAACTAGGTTTTCATTGTTCATGTTGGGATTTTAGGCAACTGAATAGTCTGCATCTGTGTACTGGATACACACTTGCTGTCCAAAGTGACAGGATGGTTTACACATTGCTGACCTTTCTCCGCTTGGTTATGCGAGTTCTGGTTCATGTTATACTTCATTGTGTGTAAAATCTCCTTCATGCTTTCATTAAGCTGCTGCAGAGTAACATATTAGTATATGTGGTGGTAGAAAATTAACGTTATTGTAAATGAGGCAATACTTAAACCGGCACCCTGAAGTGAAAATGTGTGCCACTTAACATGCAGTGTTAAATTACTTTCATCTATCAGCCACTGTCCTCAAGTTACAGCTGTCAGTTTGGCAGAAGAGTCCAACTTCTATACATCTATACTGAACCATCTATTTAAATGCAGTCATGTAAAAGTATGTTTTGATAATGCTGGGAGCTACTTATCAGAAAGTGACAACGTTTGTGAGGCTCACCATCCTGCCTGCAAGAAACCATGACGGGGGAGTTCTGGGAGCACTTCTTGGGCAGAGGCGGCAGGGCTGTCCGACCTCACTCACGCGGTGTGAAATACCTGGCCAGATCCCGGTGCTAATGCCAGGGTGCTTGCCTGGCCTGCTTCCCCTGCAACCCGCAGTTTGGCTCCGCGTTCAAGCGGTTGGGAAATTGTACGTTCAGGAGCCCACATGTTAGCCGGTCCAGAGTAGCTTGCTGAAGAGGAAATTTAAAAGTAAAGTAAAACTTAAAAGTAAAGCATCGCAGCAGTTTCCCAATATTTAATCACTTGTGATCATTTACTTCCTCTCTAAACTTCATATGTTCCATACCTTCTTTCAACCACTTTAAATCTTCTTGTCCCAATTCCTTTGTCTTGTTACTCCAGCATAGAGGGGTTCCTGCATCCCAGTCTGCCTAACAGCTGAGGGTTTGCCTTTGACAGTTGGACAGGCATAAATTTAGGGGCAAGATAAAGCAAAGTAACTGGATCCAGGTGGTGTAGTATCTGCGAATGGAAGAATGCCAAATGTCTCAGCAGGGTATCAGATGCTGAGATATAATAAGTATAAGCACATTCCCCAGTAAATCAGAATAGTATACAACTCCTTGATTGTTAATTACCCATCACTTTGCATAGGGAAAGTGCCACCACTAGCTTAAAAGGTATTTAGGATGAAACATTATGTACTGTAGTCCAAAGGAAGAAAGTGGTTAATATCTTCAGGGGAATGGAGGTAAAACATGAAACACTTTCTGCTAGAAATAGTTTAACAATTTCTTTATCGGAGACACTGAAGGAATCGAAGGACATTTTCAGCAATGCAAAATTTTGGTGTTTTGTCTTTTGCAGAATAAAGAGTTTTTACAAGAGAAGATGTTGCAGAGAGCACCAACAATCACTGAAAGATCAAAAAAGGTACTGAAAACCTCTTGGGCTTTTGCTGTTACAGTCATACTAGTTTTTTATGCTTGTGTTCACATTTTTAATAAGAATTATTGTAGTACAGCATTTTCTAGATACAGAGCTGGACATTTCAATAAAATACTCAAGTGCCCTGGCAGATGGTGCAACCTGAAGATTCTCTTGTGCTATTTGTCCTAAAAGGGATCAACCATAGAAACTGTCTGCTTGACGTATCAGTTCTCTGTCTTTCTGCTGAGCAGGTCCGGAGAGTCCCAGGTTCCAGCGGACGTCTTCATAAGACTGAAGATGGTGGCTGGGAATGGAGCGATGATGAACTAGATGAAGAAAGTGAGGAAGGCAGAGCAGCAATTTCACAGCTCAGGGTGGGTCCTCAGAATCTGATAGCTCTGTTGTCTCTGATTTGTTTTTTAACTGTGGTATGTCTAAATATCCCTGGGAAGTATGTGGCCTTGTTTTAAGTACGATACACAGTAGATTACAATCTTTCCCCTCAAGTTTGTAGCCAAACCAGGGAAAGCAGACTGAAGGCTGAAGAAATTGTATTGATCTCTTTTTTTCTAGCATCATTCTGGTGCCCAGCTGGTCTCATTCAGGGATGCTGAGCATAACTGGGAACATGAATTCAGACAGTCTGCTCCCAGCTCAGCATACTAAGTCACTCGAGCTGGATATTTTTAGTTTTAAGGGTGCTGACAGTTTGAGATACTTTCCTCTGGAAGTGTCAGGAGAGGTTTTGTCCTACTGCCCTCTCCAGGATGGAGCTGAAATCAATAGGGCTGGTGCTTATGGCTGATACCTGAAACACACAGGGCCTGGTTCTGTCCCCTCAGTTACACTGAAATCGATTAGTGCTAGTAGAAAATGTTATGGCATCCCTGAAGTCAAAAGGAGCAAATTGATCTAGCGCTGGAAAATCCTCAAAAAAAACACCACCTCCTTCTCTCCCCACCACATACGCAAAAAACCCCAAACCCAGACTAACCTGGAGAAACACAGAGAAGTAATGAATCAACTAAAAGATTACAATAAATTTCCAGATTGTCTTCCTCCCAGTAGTCAGCAGTATGGATTTTGACTGTAATGGCTTGCCTGGTCCCTTTTCACTACAGCAGGTAGCTTGAAGTGGACTATGCATTTTAATCATTCTGTAATTGAATTAGTGAGACAGTGAAGGATTTTTAGAGGAAGCTTTTCAATAGGAAAGGAAAAAATGGCAGTATTGGTTTGAAGCATCTATCCCTTTGCAACTTCAACTTTTCTCATTTCTCTTCCATTGCTTTTATTCTACTGGTGTTCTGTATAGACACTTAAATGCAAGATTTTGCATCTTTTTGGCACCCTTTGAAATGCTTGTGGTTTTTCAAGGCTGCTGTTGATACAGTAATTCCATACTTTGTGGCAAAAACTATCGTGTCTTTTTAGAGCTTACTTTATCTAGCTTCTTATTGCATGGTCAAGGAGGATCTCTTGGTACCAGATGGATAGTACTGAAATTCTTGCTCCTTTATAAGCTGAAATCTTCTAAATTTGTCTTTGAGGTATAATATCAATTTTTTTTATATTAATGTATAATATATATAGTGTATATACTTTGATATAAATATATAACAATATTTTAGGAGGGAATATTGTGAAAGACCCTAACTCTATTTCAGAGATTACTTAGAACTTGTTCTGTCATGTCTCTAAGCTCAGGATACTATGACTTAGCACTGTTTACAATGTTTTGAACAGTGCTTACTTGTTTTATTCCTCTTAGGCAGAAAAGAGCAGATTAATACAGATGATTACAAGCTCCTTTTCAAGCCTTTTTTTTTTTTCTTGGAGCTTTGGCATATTTCTTTATACTGCTGTTAGTTCTGATCTCTCTAATTTGGGCCATGGTTGGCCTTTACTTGTAGGTCTCCCATTCAAGAAACCTTTAGGATGGGTGTTGAAGCAGAAGATCTCAATTAAATTATCTAAATGTAGATGTATATTGCCATTTTGGAGGCATCCCAAATTTACCCATGTAGATATAGTGCAGAACTTTGGGAAACTTGTACCTTTCTGGAGGTCAGGAAGGGCACCGTGGCATCTTAGAACTCACTACGTCTGCCTTGGAGCTTGAATCCTGCCCTGGCTGTCTTTCTCATGCACAGCTTCTGAGTCATTTTCTTCAGCCTGAAGGTGAAAGGATAGGAATGCCTGTGCACCTCTTCATTTGATTCCTTTTTGAGCAATCTTAGGACTTGTATTTAAACTGCCAGTGTTTGCCATGGTGGTTGTGTTGAGGACTAGTGTTAATCCTGTGTTTTGGCCATATTTCAAAGGCAGGGTGTGAATTTCACCTGCTTGTAATCCCTCTGCAATTTTAACTAAGTTGTAAGGTAGAATAACTTATGCTAACTAGTAGTCACTTTTTATTCCTGCCTATGGCAGAGGGATTGGACTAGATGGATCTGTAAAAGTCCTTCCCAACCCAAACCGCTCTGTGATTCTGGCTGTTACCTGCGTTTTATTGCTGTCAGTCCTGAAGTAAAAGAATGGCTTGCAGCTTGACTTAATTCGCTAAAATACTATTTAGCAAATTATCCTGCATAAAAGCTTCTACATAAATGTAAAGTGTTTGTATTTCTTGTTTGTTTCCACTTTACAGAAAAAATAAGGTGAATTTAATATGTACAAATGTGTATTTTACAATTCTCTTGCTCGGAATGCACCTGAAAGCAGACAAATGTTCATTACAACCAACCAGAAATATCTGCCCAATTCGTTGAATAAGCTGACTTGCTGGCTCAACGTTACCTTTTGGGTATAAAGACTTACTGAACTTCTTCGCTCTTGGTATTTAAAACCTTGAATTTGGATTACAGCAGTTATGCTGTGTGGGCTTTTAAATCATTCACCTTCCATTACTCAATAAATCTGTGCAGCGGCACTCTGTGTGGTCACATTTCACTGGTTACTCACATCATCTCTGATTACACAAGCAAGAGTCAGTTAAAACTAATATATTTCAGCACATCCTCAAAGTCATCCTATTTGTGCCTTAATTAGGTAAACATCTTTTAATGTTTGTCCTATTTCCTTTCTGTCTGTTCATGTTTTTCCTTAGTTTACCTCTGTTTGCCATTTATCTGGGTTAGTTGTTAGCTGTGGGGCAGGGCCAGCGTTTCCATACTTGTCTGTACAGTGTCTAGCACACTGATCTTTCAGAGAAGCTCGTTTTGAGTTATTCCTTGAGGCATCCGCGTACTCTTGGATATGAGCTTTGTGCCTGAAAGAAGAGTGCTGCAGCCCTGGCCTGCAGATGTGGAGCATGGCTGTTTATCTCTGGGCCCAATGCCATGTTTTTCATCTTGCCTGGTAACTGTCAAGTCAAGACTCAACATATTGAGATGGATTTCAGGCTTTACCTTTCCAGCTGCCTGACTTTTTTCCTGACGCTGTCTGCACATAGTCATCGTGAAGGAACTGTTACTTCTTCTCCTGTCTAGAAGGCTTTTTGCAACTTGCTGTTCTGAGAATAAGACTTTTTAACCTTCTCTCATAGGACTCTCTGGGTCCTATGTTACAAATTGCTCTGATCTGCATTTGTTAAGGTAGTGGCATTGGCTAGTGCATAAACTGGCTCAAGATAGCAGCATGATGAGACTTATGTTCTTCTGTCAAACTTGCGTTGTCCTAATTCCAATGTGTCTTTGAGACCATTGTGTGGAGAAGGAACATCTATTTCATTAATCCCTGCATGGACCAAGCCATCCCTCCTGTCTATCTCCACATGGTAATTAGGTTAGAACTCAAAGCTGCAGGCTCTCTTAATTGCAGGGATTTCCAGGAGTACTTGGCAATTCCTTTCTGCTCATGTGAAATAGCTAATACATGTTATCTTTGTTTCACTGATAAGTGAAGATTGGTTGCATTGCTTTGACTGCACTTTCCCCTACATTCCACTGATCTCTCTGTTTTACTGCTGAACTTGTGTATAGCCGTCAGTTTTTTGCTTTCTCTCACAGAGGGCACAGGATAATGCAGAGTCCCTGGGCAAGGAGAGCAGGCAAGAGGTTTTTTGCTATAAGTTAGCACAAGTAAGGCTGATTTTTTTTTTTTTCCTCCATTCCCTCTCCCACAGGGTTTTGTATGGTTTAAGTAAGTTGGTTTGCAAACTAGTTCCTTAAGTACCTGAAGGGGATTTGTTTCCTAGCAGAATTATGCAAGGCAGATTTGTGTGGTTTATCCTTTTCTGCAAGACTTGGGTAGCTTAAAATGGATTTTGCCATCTTGGTGCACAAGTAATTTGATCCAGTCTGAGTGATCTTCAAGAGTACTGAGTTTTGCTAATGGTTAACAGTGATAGCAGCTTAGGGTATTGTATACCACTGTGTAAATACCAGCTGCAAGTTCTGAAACAGACTGCATGTTTCTGGGTGGTATGATATGATTAGGTTGCCAACAAATTGTGTGGTGTCCCTTTTATTGTGCATCTTAATGCATATATCTAACTTGAAAGCGATTACATATATGTTCAATACGGTTCTGACAAGTCCTTCTAGTCAGTAAGTTTTACTTTTGTCTGGGCAATGACAGCTTTGTCTCTGTTTTGCAGTCTCCCAGAGTGAAAGAACCTGTACAGAATTCCGAGGTAAGTTACAACTACAAATGGCTTCCTGAAATGATGACTCCTAGTTACTGCTGTCGTTTCAAGCAACATGTTTTTATTAGCCTTTGAAAACAATATTGTGTGAAGCAGAAGTTAGTATCTAGCTGAGCTATACTTGAAAACATCCCTATAAAAGGAATCGTTGTCTGTGCGATGCCAAGAGGTCTTCCTGGGCTAAGTTTGGTGTATATCTTTTCAACTTTACTTGCTGTGGCAAACGTCTGTATGTTGTAAGATAATGAATTGGTCACAAGAATAATCTAAGCAAAACAATGGTGTTCCGATTTCCTCTTAAAAAAACACGTCACAATAGAACACAACTTTAAAACGTCTGTTTTGCATCATCTAATTCACTGGTTTGGAACCTGTGCTCAGAACTGTGAAATAATTCTGTAGTAGTATTTGATAGCAAACAAAACTTTGGTTGTAATTTATAATCTTCCTTCAGTTCTGTCCTGGGTTTCTTGCATTAGGAATATTAGTATATCTTATCTTTCAGTGGTAGAGACTGCTTATTTTCTAGAGACTATGCTATGTCATTCTTTTCCCTACCTGTGTGGAAAGATAAACAGAACTGTCTCCTAGAAATTATTCTTAAAATAGGCTGTCCTGTTCTTTCTTTATCTGTTTCCAAGGATTGATTATAAAGGGAGATCTTAAGAAAGACTGCAGTTCTGGCACTGTAATTTGACCTGAACTATGAATTCAAAGAAAAAGCTGAAAATGAGAATCCCTTGGGGATCGTGATACATTCCGTAATATATATTGTGATATGGATGTCTGCTGCCCAGGTTATCAATATTCAAGATGACTTATTTTTCCTACAACCTAGTGGAGTAAGTTGGAGGGCACACTGAAGAAGTGCCATCAAACTTACAGTTCTTTGGCTACCATGCCAAAATCAGTTTCTCTGTTCTGAATAACACGAGGTAAAAAAGGTTAAACTTTCATTTAGCTCATTTCCCCCAGTCTCAAATTAATTGCATATGATTTTTTTTTTTTTTTGCAAGGGACTAACTTTAAGTCCAATCCTGAACAGTCTTGTGTATTTTGAAGAACTTTAAGCTCTGAATTCATTTTTCAGCTGAATATCTGTATTGCTCTGACTCTGACCTTTGTTTTACGAATGGATAAATTTGCGGTAGTTAATTCTTTGCTAGGATGTGTTCTCTGAAAGGAATTACAAGTCAAAGGAGAGTTGCTCTGCTGTGACTGCATGGCTACTTGAAAATATAAGTGGGACTCAGATTCTGAGAAGGGGGGAAACTAAAGCATAGGGTGCTCTTGTTCAAGCTAGGACATGACCTGTGTGCATCCAGCCTTGCTGCTGCCGAGTGTAATTTTTGTCCAAGATCCACAGTCATTGTGCTGTCTTGGTTTCTTATCCTTCTTTACTGGTGAGTAAAACTTGCAAATATCAGGGCAGAAGGGGTCCCTGGACATAAAGAAACATTAAATCCCCTTCAGCACCAACTTGGGATCAGTGTTAGTGTCCTGGAGGCCCGGGAATGCCCTTGGCATTGAACTTCTCTAAGTGATTTATGCAGCAAACAAGGACTTTTTGGAAAGCTGGTGCTTGAGTCGGAACTTCTGAGTTCCTTTTCTTATTAAAATGCCTTTTTGCTTGCAGCTGTTCCCATCAGCTGAGCCTCCAGGTCCTTCACTCAATGCTCCAGCACAGGCACCTACTCAACTACCTCAGGCTGCAGGACAAGTACCTGCACAACCTCAAACTGCTGTACCTCCACCTAGTCAGGCTCCTCCAGCAGCCCCAGCAGCAGCCCCAGCAGCAGCCCAGGTAAGATCAGAAACCCTTTGTACCAGCTTTCAGCTCTTGCGCTTAGCTGTTCTCTTCCAGATGTGCTAAAGTGATCTGAAGCCATGGAAGTTGCTTGTCTGGAGTTGATTTAGTGCTGCTACTTATGCATAATTGGCAGGTGGTTTGCAAAAGGAAGACAGGCAATGTGGGTGCGGCAGTTTTTCATTCTTATTCTGTGGGTGAGCGGTGACTTTTTATGCTGTTTAGGGAGTGGACTCAGGCTTGAGGCAAGGTTAAAGGTAAGAAAAAAAGAGAGTCTCATTCAAGTGGCAGCTGCTTGTTTCTGGTATTTAAGGTGCAGCACAAATGGGCTCTCATTATGTGTCTCAGCATCACTGGCATCTATGGGATGAGTGGAGAGAAAAGTGAGAGGAAGAAACCAGAATATGAAAGTTCTTCAGCCTTCAGAAGAGACACAGGAAGCCTAGGTTAAACCTGTCCTTGTAGCAGTCAAAAATTGTGGAGAAACTCCATTTTTGGGAAGCTCTGAACCTTGTGGTTCAGACATTTCCATTTCAAGCAGAGAGGGGAGAATGGACCTGTGAGGGAAAGTACAGGGAATGTGAAAGCTTGACAAGGTTGTGTTTAATTCTTAGCTACATCATCCCGAAGCGTAGGATATAGGTCAGATAGGCAGGCATAGCAAAGTCAGGGAAGAGTGTTTAAAGGAGAAAAATGACCGACCCAAATCATTGCTGAGACATTTGGAACATGTCTTGTGGTTTGCTGGAGTAAAGCACTGCGGAGTTTGCCAGACTCCTGAATGATGGCACCTCTTTGGTAAAAGACACTAACGTTCCTATTTGTTGGTGGGGAGAGGCTGCCACCGTTGGAGGGGAGCAAGCTACCATCACCCTTTGGCAGACCCAAGGGGAAGGGACTTGGCAGTGTTGGTCAGAAAAATAACTCTTAGACTTACTTACTGCTTCCATGAAATGTTTAATTACTTTTATTTTAAAGAATGTTGAAAGATACATATATCACTTCACTGCAGTCAGCTCATGTTCCTGTTTACAAAACTGTTAAAGACAGTGCATTAGTCATTAAACAAAAATAGTGGAGTTGGGGTCTGACATATTCTTGCTACAGTAAAAGTAGTTTTAATACTTAAATCAAACCCCTTCACATCTCTTGAAAAGGGTCCAGTGTTTAATCCCTGAATTTTATGCAGCAGTGGAAACACCAGCAGCAGTAAAGGCAGAGACTGTCAGTTCCGTAAAATGAAGTAGCAGAAGTACTCAGAAGTAATTTAGAGGTGAAAATACCTGTAAAATTGCTGCTAGATGCTCTTAAAGCCTTTGGTTTCACAAAAAGTGAAACTGAGAGTGTGTGCTAATCTGCCAATTAAATTAGTTCCTAGGTACTCTTCACAATTATATAATGTTTTTAAATCTTTTGTTTGGGGCAAGGATTAAAACACAGGAGGTATTGAAGCTGTCATGAGTGCCCCAAAACTTTAAGTTTTGATGCAAAGCAAGCAGTTTTTCTACATTTAGCACTTCCGAAGTCTGCCATTTTGACATTTCTCAAAGTTGTGTAGCTTTTACTGTTTTCAAGACAATTGCAGAGAGAACTTCCCAGATTACTATTTAAGCGTGAAGTTCTCCTGTTTTCTTAGCATGTCGCTTTTTTTCACTGTAGTGTCATGTTTCCGATGATGAGTTAAACTTTTATTTGTATTTATAGTTGATTGAGGTTATCTCTAGTTTTAAAACCAGAGAAAGGAAATGTTAATCTGCTTTAAAATGATGTAATGCTATTGCAGGCCCCACCTGTCCCTGCTGCAGCTCCGGTACAGGAAGATACGAAAGTCCCCATCAGCCTTGTACTAAGGTTAAGGTAAGGACACAAAACTACCCTGTTCTGTCAAAGTGAATCTTTGTAGGCAGGGATACTGGAGGACCTCTGTAGTGCGTCTTGCCTTTTAATTAAAAGAGTGGTGGTTATATGTTTGTCAGCTTGGATTTCATCCACTCATCCAAAACTGGGACCCAGAAAAGCAGTTCGGCAAGAGCTGTAAATTGAAAGAGGTTTTGATATTTGTGTAAATATTCCTAAACTTTTAATGGGGTGGGAAGGAGGAATTAGCTGGCTTCCGTAAAAGGGATCAGGGATCCAAGGGTCCTGGCCTTGTGCTGGACCATCTTACTATTCAGGCACAGCTTCAGACTTCAGCCGGTTCTGACAGTGAAGAGCTTTTACCCAATTTGAGGCATGGATTCTGATGTATGTCCCTAGAAATAGCCAGAAAAAGGGTTGTAAGCCCATTCTATCATTGCACATGTTGACGTTTCTCATTTAAGGAACCTGCCTTTCAGCTCTGTAGCCATCATGGTTGTTGATAGGCATCGTACTGGGATTTTTGAGCGTCACCTCCCAGCCATTCCTGGACAGTTGTGTAATGCGTGTGTATCTGCAGTCAGTGAGTGCTTCCTTCCTCTGAAAAATGTGCTCCAGGGATATATCTGCTGACAGATACGAGGTGCTGGGATAGTGGAACAACGTGGTCTTATAGCAGAGAGGTGTCACTCAATTATCCTGGACTTCAGCCCACTCAGGTTCTGTCAGGTTGAGAGGTGGACTGTGCCGAGAGCCCTGCTTCCAGATGCACACCCAAGTAATAAGTTTCTGCCCTTTGAGGGGGAAGGGTGCAATGAATTCACTTCTCTTCACAGACTGATTATTCAATGACAACACCTTCTTTTGCGCACTGATCAGTGCAATGAACTGGTCTCGTCTATATAAAATTCTCTTCTTTCCACAGGAATTCAAAAAAAGAGCTCAATGATATTCGTTTTGAATTTACCCCAGGGAGAGGTGAGCTAGTGGGAAATTCCGGTGTGTGAAGGTGGTTTTGGTGAAGGGGAAGTTTTGTGTTTGGTGTTGTGCAGTTGTGTGTATGGAAACTCTGTATGAGTGTCTGTCCACAGTGCCTTCCTAAAGGGCTCACCTTATGGGTGGGCTTGGAGCGCTGCTGTTGAGAAGACCCTTCTTGTAAAACTGTTCATAGATATGACCAAGGTGCAGCCCTTTGAATTCCATCTCGAGAGCTTGACAGCATAGCTCAGAGCAGTCTGACTGCACCTGGTGTACACTCTAATATCCATCTTGTGTAAACAACACTTTTGCTGTTTGGTTTGTACTAGCTTCTTTAGGTTTCTATGCAATGCCTTCATCAGCTGGACAATTTCTGTTATGTGGTGACCGGCTCTTGGGTTTCTCCCCTACAGATACCGCTGACGGTGTGTCTCAAGAACTCATTTCAGCAGGTCTTGTTGATGGCAGAGATCTGGTAATAGGTAATTACGTATTATTTTTTCCGTTCTAACCATTTCAGTAATTTTTTGCATGTTTAAAACAATCTGATTAGTGGGTACTAGGAGAGTTTGCTGTGGCCTTGGTTCTCTACCCCAGTGGCTCTACAAAACTGCTGTTAATTCTGGTGACGGTTCTGTGCCGGTTCATTTAGGCAACCCCCAGCATGCAAGAATATGATGTAGTTGGAAACATTATGAAGCAAATGTTCCTTGTAATGCAAAACAAAGGCTAATTGATGCATTAGCTAAATCATTATCATCTAACATATATGCATTGCCAAATTGCTGCACAAGCCTGTACTGCTCAAGAGAGGTCTGGGACTGGGATCAGCCAGGCTTTTTTGTTTTAAGTAGGGCTGGGGAGGGAAGTGTGAAGTGCGCGTGCACTAGGGCAGCAGAATGTGTTGTATGGGTGTGAACAGCTACCTCTAGCAACAGTTGGCTAAATAAATGTGTCCTTCTGTGCAGCAGGTGAGACTTAAATTTTCAGCACTACCATTGTTTTTTGACTACAGCAAGCAAAACTGTTCCTTAGACACAGGTAGCAACATCTGGAAAGGCTGCTAGTGCAAAACTAACTGGATTTCCAGGTGCAGTTGGGCAGTTTATTACTACTAATCCCACCACATCCAGAAAAAAATAACTACCTCTGAAAAAGAAGCATAGTAACAAATGGCAGCATTTTTGCAGTTTAAAGCTTTAGATTTAAGAAGATTGAGTCTAATTGAGACCTAAACTTTTTTATCATTTTAAAAAGTTCTAAGTTTGCTGAGTAATAGAAAGAGGCCTAATGAATTTGGGATGTTTTTCTCTAGCCTGTCCTAATATTTGCCCGTTTTCTGTGTGTGTGTGATTTCAGTTGCAGCTAATTTGCAGAAAATTGTGGAAGAGCCCCAAGCAAACAGATCCGTCACTTTCAAACTGGTATTTATTCCTGTTCCTTAATTGAACAAGTTGTCACTTGCAAAGAGAAGGCATTGCATATAGTTGCCTGTGATGGATATCTAATGTACGCACTCTAAATATCCTCCCTTCTTTCCTAAAGCTTCCTACTGGCTGTCTAACAGTAGGCAATGCAGGCTCCCTGCTTGTGTCCTCTGAGCCAGCACGTGGGGTAAATAAGTATGAGATGATGTGCTAATACAAACACTCCCTTATCCTGGCTAATGAGCATATCAAAATGTTACAGAAAGAGTATTTTCTGGGCTTGGAATATACACTTGGCCAGAAAGGGTAGAAATACTTCAGGGCAAGTACGTGAGTGAAGAGATGCCATGGACTCCTTTCTTGGAGAAGGAGAGTGGGGAGGTCCAGATACATTGTCTGTTAGAGTAAATGAAGGTGAAAAAAAGAGTGGAGGAGGGGGAAAGAATAGAACCAAAACTAAGATAGGCCGGGGGAGGAGAAATAACAGCAGATCGGTCTGTCAGAGGTGGTGAAATTCAGAGGCAGTTACAGTGGCAAAGCAAAGGCTTATTGATAGCGAGGTAGTAAGTGCCATTATTTTTGATGCTTTCTGTAAGGAGTTGTTTTGCCCCAGTTAGTGCATGTAGCCCTCGTCAGAGCAGACATTGGCAAAACTTCAGTCCCAGCCCTTCCTAGCTTATAAAAAAAAAGCGGGGACGGGACGGGACACACCAACCCCAATTTTAACTTTGGGTAGTGCAAGCTGCGGAATACAGTGCAAAGCTGTCCTGTGAGTGCTCCCTCCCCAGACCGTATCTGATACACCGTGCTGTGATATGTAGCATGGGATGTATTGGAGAGGAGAGCATGTGTGTTGCTATTTGGATCTCTGTTCCTTGTGTTTCAGGCATCTGGTGTTGAAGGCTCGGATATTCCTGATGATGGCAAACTTATAGGATTTGCACAGCTCAGCATCAGCTAAACAATGGTCCCAGGAGATGTTTCCCAACTGAGAACCCACATGTGCATATTTGTAATGCTTCTGTTAGCCTAAAAAAAAAAAACCACTACTGCCAAAGAATTGAACTACAGCCCCTTCCTAGAAGCTTTAACATTTTCCTTAATAGGATCACAAACCTTCCTGAAATTACTGATGGCGTTTACACCTTTTGTAAACAACTCTCATGTTTTTGTATCTGTCATCTCAAACATGCAGATCCAACACATCATTGCCTGCATGTTCATTTTATTATTGCCTTACTTTAAAGAAAAATACTACTGAGTACGAAGCAGGGGGTTCCACTGCTCTGATGATCTTGCCTAAATGTTTGCTTACATGTGGTTTCTTTTTTTTCACTTGCTATTTTTGCACAAGTTTTAATACTGAACGGATCTTTTTTTTTCTGTTCTTCACCTGCTTCTCCTTCTATCAGAAACACCAATGTACATGTTGTTTGGGTCACCTGGAGTGCTGAGAAATCTGCTTCTCTTCAGCTGTGTTTTTTAAAACTGCTGGTTTGAATGCTTGCACCTGAGAGAGCAAGCCAAGTCTTAACCCACGGGAGGGAGAGCTGCCTTCCCTTGTGTTTGTGTTTTTGAGAAGTTCCTTGACTTTGAGGTGTTAGAAGTCAGCTTCCCTTTGTTAACTGCCTTAATTTTTCTTTTTGGTTTTTTTTTTACCATTTTGGTTCTCTCCACATGAGTGCCAGGTGTGGCATGAGGGCTGAACCTTTTAATTTACATTAAGCAGTCCTTCCTCAAAACCGTCTTTCATTCTGCATCTTAGATGTAGTTAGTTCTTGAAGCAGACCATGAGGCATTGCTGTCTGGAAACCGATCTTTCAGAAGATCAACAAAATATTTGTGGTCAGAGGGAGAGGAGATCTGTGTCACTCTGCGTTTGGAGAAGATGCACTTCGAACTGCTCCCGAAACCCAGTCTGTCGTGCCTGGCTGCGCGAGTCCTCCCGACGTGTTTCCCAGTCCTTTGCAAACTGGTACCCGTGGAACCATCCCTGTTGTGTTTTACAGCAATAACGAATTGCCAGTAGAGTGGTAGTACTGGGCAAGCGAGCGCCGGGCTGTGTCCCTCCTGCACTAATCGCTTGGGCCGTCAGCCTTCTCGTCGGCCCAAGCCTCAGCGTTTGATCAGGATGTCACCGAAACCCTGTCACACACGTATTTAGCTTTTATTTCTATGTGGTGTTGAATTTGAGTTTCTACATGAATAATATAAATTATACTCTGAGTTTGAGAAGAGACACTTGTAATGCAATATGTGAATAATAAATGGTGTTGATTATTTTTTGTTGTTGTTGTTTCCTACTGTTTCACAGTTGGCCTTTGTAACTGCTATTGGCTCTGGAGTGTTTTCTACACAGAAATTGTAAGCCTGTAATTTAACACACGGATGGAAACGTGTTTGGTTTCCATCAGCGACAAACAATGCAGAAACAGAGCGTTAAAGCAAAATGACTGGGTTCAATTAGGACTTCTTTTTTTATTTCCAAGTCTTCAGATGAACAATCTGTATTTATATATTGTTCTCTATGAGCAGCTGTGGAAGCTTCCTGAATTGTGCATGTTCTTTTTATATCGCCCTTGTTGCTTTTAGCCCCTAGGTGGATATTGGGCATGTCCCCGTGGGCTGTTTGCAGCCCCATGGCTGGTGAGTGTGAAGGGGAGGGAGAGGAGAAAGAGGGTTTGGGAGCGAGAGCATCCCGGGGTGCTGAGCAGATGTTCTGGAGCTCAGGAAGCGGGTGCCCGATAGCAGGGAGTTGGTGGTGGCTGGGTTTGGCCAAGCGTGTGCGTGTGGCACCTCTGGCACTTTCTCCTGTTGGCTGACACAAAGCACTCCCTATAGCTTCCGCCATCGAGCTTCTTGGCTTGGGAAGAGCGGGCTGGCATCTCGATTTCCCTGTTACCCTGCGGTTGATACGGAAGGGTTGGAAACCCTTAGGATACCGAGACAAGGTAGTCGTGGTACAGTATTATTTTCCCTTCTGCCTGCATGCCGTGGGGACCCCCTTGTTCATTTTTGTACTGGTGCTGAGAAAGGTAGGACTCAAACTGCTCAAACGGAACAATGCAGCATCTCTATTTATTAAGTTATTCCCCACCTTCCCAAAGCCAGGACTTAAAGAGCTTGAGCTCGCACTAACCCAAGGCTCCTTAGTTCTTTATTGGAGAAATTAAGTAAGGAAGAAACTGATGGGTTTTTTTTTTGTTCTATAGATTTCCAGATGTTTTGGATAGGGATCCAAAATATTTACTTGGGCTATTACAGTTCTAGACAACTGTCTTTTCTGATGTTGTTCCAGTAAGTGCCAATGCTGTTCATAATTGTTTTCCAGTGTCATTAAGAATTTGGTTTTTGTGCAAATTTCTGATCTGAACCTGGAAGCAGGTGGTATTTTTAAGTTAGTTCCTACTTTCAAGGACAATGCTCTGTTAATGAAAACGGATCCTCTTCACAACTTTGGTGTATTGTAGATTATAATGAAAGATGTAAAATATTCAGGCTTTTTTCCTTTTTTGGACTTTGTATTTTACTGCATGTCTCTAATTTTTAATCAATAAAGAACAAATTGTCCATTGCCACGTGTTTGCTGTGCGGTTTATGTGTCATTGGGTCAGATGGCGTGTCTCTGGGAAGGGGTTTGTCTGAGTCTCCAGCTCCTGGGGCATTTCTGTTTGGGGCGGTGGGAGGTTTGACAACCTCCGGGAGGACTCGGTGAGGAAGGGGTGGGGATGCTCTGCAGGAGTTGTGTGCAGAAATGGAGCCAGGATGGCACTTCGGATTGTACCCTGAGGGCTTGTCTCCAGTTGAAAGGTTTGCTCCGAGCTCTGCTCACCCTGTGCAGCTGGGGATGAGCTTCCCCTGTCCAGGAACACCTCAGGGTGACAGAGGCTGATTTTAAAGTGAGATGATTTATACCCCAAGAAGCGTTGGGAGCGTGAACTGCACTCCCTCCTTTCCACCTCCATGACAGTTGTTCTTTCTGAATTTGAAGCTTCAGGGCAGATCTGATCCAGAGGTGCCTTTGAGGTCTCTCCCTTCTGTTTGTAGAGGAGCCAGGACTTCAAGACAATGCACTGAGGGTGAGAGGCAGAGCCCAGGCATGTCCCCATCTCCCGTCATCCTGACAGCTCTTAGCTCTACCTGCGCCAGTCCTCTCTGTGAGCACCGGTATCCCCCACTGCAGCGTACCCGTGTGCCACCGGTTGTGCTTTGGGCTGCAAGAGCAAGGAGGTGCCTGAAGGGAAAGGCCTTGTCCAAGTGTGCGGGTGACAAGACTGTTGGCAGACTCTCAGTAAACACTTCTGTGACCTGGCGCTGCACCGCCGCCATGGCTGTGGCAGTAGATTTGTCAACGGTGAATACTGCAGTTCAGTCAGTTAGGTTGGGTGGGCATGTGGACAGCTTTCCCCAGTCGTGGTCATCCTTTAACAGTGACCTTGGCTGGCTGCTGCCAGCTGAGCCGCAACCTTTTAGTGTCATCTAATGTCACATAAAAGAGAAGTGCCTGGTTGCAAGCAGAGACTGCCCAAGTCCCTCTTGGAAAGCCAACTCTGGAGCACTGCACTAGAGAAACCCTGGAGTTTTCCTTCACGTCCTTCAATATTTCCTGCACATCTTCCACAAAGGAAGGAAGTTTTCAGAAATGAAGAGAAAGGTTACCTGAGAAGTAAAAAAACCCCTAATATTTATCACTGGGGAGGGTCCTTGGAAACTTTCCCCTAATGTATGGCTTCTCTTCCCAAGGTACAAGGTTCATTCAAACTCTGACAGCTTTGTTGGCATGATTTACCCAGAGCTTAGTGGGCTTTTGTTTGAGCGAGGTCGTGGTGTCTCCACTAACAGCAGCAGAAGGGGTCTTCCTGCTCAGAATGTGGGAACGGAGAAGTTTCTCCAAAGCTTCGCAGACTGGCAAGGGCAAGGTGTGTGGCTTTTGGGAGGAGATAGGGGTGGTCCAGTTAAAAGCATGTTTCCCAGGCCTTTTGGCTGGGAGGCACCCATCTGTGTTTGCTTAAAAATATGCCTGTTCTTGCTTAAAAAAAAAAAAAGAATCCCACCAAAGCAAAAAAAAAAATTGTGATATTCTTGGATGGTGGCACTTTCTAAGCTGCCTCTTCCATTTGGTCTCCTTTCTAAGGCTCTTGGGCTTAGTTTGCTGTTTTCTAGTTCTTTTTTTTTCTCTTAAGGTGTTCCTCATTACTGGCAGACCCAGAAAACTTTATCTCGGGTGAACGTAACTTCTGAGCTCAGGGCATGCGGTGGTAAGGGGTGTTCTGGGTCACTGAATCTTGTCCCCTTCATCTAAGCCAACTTCTTTGCAGCCTTTCCAGTATTTGGCCCAAACCCTGCTTAAAAAGCCCCAGAGAATTGTATGGCGGTTTTGTCTCCCATCCCTGTCTCTGTAGGAAACCCCTTCATGGACACTCCCAAAGGCTTTTCATGCTGCCAAAGTCCAGTGCCTCATAGTCCTTCTACAAGTGAGTAGTCCAGTTGCCTTCATCCTTGGATGTGTCCCTTTGTGGGTGCTCACCGTGAGGTGTCTCATACCATCCATGACTGTGGGCTTCCCTGTTCTTCTTACCCCATCCCGAACACCTTCTTGCTGTCTCTCCTCCCAGCTGATGACTTCGCAAATGGAAAGTAACCTCCCCTGGAGGGTGTGCACCTCCTGAAATTTCTCTTTCACCTAACGGGAATGCAGCAGGAGGACAAATCCCGATCCAGAGCAGTGATTTGTCTTCAAATTTGCATATTTGTTGTGGCCGCCTACAGCTGCAGGGCTTGTCTTGGGCTTAAGACCGGGTTCCAGCGCTGGGGAAGCCTGGCTCTGCAGACGCAGCTCCCAATGTCAGGCGTTGGGGAAATTTTGAAAGCTGTTGGTGATTTTGGGCCGTTTCAGAAATGGCTGGTGCTGCTCACCTTGTTTCCCTGCCTCAGTGTGGCTTTCCACCAGTTTTGCCAACTTTTTATGGTTCCCCACGTGCCGCATCACTGCGACACCAGCTGGATCCGTGCCATGGGCCCCAACCTGATGGAGGAAGAGCAGCTGAACCTCACCCTGCCCCGGGATGCAGATGGGGCGTACGAGCAGTGCTCCATGTACTCACCGGTGGACTGGGACCTCGACTCCATCATGGCGCATGGCCTGAACGCCACGGAGAAATGCAGCAGTGGCTGGGTATACCCCTCAGGCCATGACGTGACGTTGGTCTCTCAGGTTTGTAGCGTGCATTGGTTTCTGTTTGCTTTGTGCTGTGGCAAATGGTGCTTTGAAGGCTGCGGTGTGCTGAGCTTGAGCAGGGCATGCCTGGAGGCAGTGCTCCCTCTGTGCTTTTGCTTTGGTGCACAAGATCTTCCCTAATTGTGGCAGATCTATTCTTCCTGACCTTTACCAAAAGCCATGGAAAGGTGTGTTGCGGACCTATGCCCTGGTCAGGTCCTGAGGAGGACATCTCAGCCCAGAGATGTGACTCAGCTCCAACCAACCATTGCTGCCTCCTCACCTGTTGTTGGAAACCTCCAGCAATGGGTTCCTGCCCTTTCCCTTGGTCCTTGGTTCGGGGTGTTGGAATCCTCTACCCTCCTGTAAATGTGGTGCCCAGCTCAGGCTCTCCAATGCTGCCCAGAGCAGAACAGACCTCATTTTCCAGGTCTTAAGTTCTGGCAGTGCTTTGTACCAGTCCTCTGGCTCCTGCTTCTCCAGATCCATGAGACCCATGACTGGTGTCTGGCTGACCCTCCTGGGCTTCCCTATTTAAACCATGACAGAGAAGAATGGATGAGGCTGCTTTGTGTCCTGGACTCTTTCTAACATGGAGCCAGGAGGCAGACAGGGGAGATGACAGGATCGGGCCTGGGAAAGGCTCCTGAGCTCATGGGCATACGTGATTCTGCTCTTAGCAAGGTTTGGCCTGTCCTGTCTCCTGCCGATGAAGCAGAGCCCAAGGTGAACAGGGGCACCTCAATTTCATCCTCCGAGTTTCCCAGTTGACTTGAACAGACACAATTTGTGTCATCCAGCATCTCTGCCTGGTTTGGTGTTTGTATGCTTCTCTCTATCTTTGGTACTCCTTGCTTGTAGTTGCTGAGCTGGGCTTGTCCCGAGGGCAGCATCTCTCCTCTGGCTGCCCAGGGAGCTGGTGTACCTCCAAGTCTGACCTGTGTGGGTGCTCTGGTCACCACAAATGGGGCAGCCACGGTCTGGTTTCCATCATGCTCACACAATGCTCTTCCTGTGCATTTGTGGGCAGGACAAGGAGCATCCAACTTGCTTTTGAGGACTTCTGAAGGCTTTGCCTCATGGACCTCCAAAAGGGGCCCCAGGCATCCCTACATCGGGGATGGGTGGAACACAGTTGGTTTCATGTTCTCGATGGTCATTTTAAGGCAGGAAGGCATTTGAGATGAGATTTGCCAAACCTGCCTCAAGCGGCATTGCCTTGTGTCAGGTTTCTTCTCCCCCTACATGTCTTCCCCGAGTCTTGCCTGCATATAGTCCCCACCAGCCTGTGGGGTGGCCCCGAACTGGTGTGAAGGGTGGATATCCCGTGCGTGGCTTGCTTGTGGTTGCACCAGGAAGCTGCAGAATATGAAGGAAACGGAGTCTCCTGTCGCCTGGGTCCACAGCCAACTGGCCACCTTCCTTGTCTCAGCTCTGCCCATCCATTACCATCCCTCCCTTTATTCCTCTGGACTTTTCCCAGGTCTGCATCATGCTGGGCTGCCTTGGCCCCTCTGAACCTTGCTTGCCCAAGTGGAACCGCTGGGAACCATCTCAGCAGTTCAGCAAAAGCAGCACTTGCAGTTGCTTTGGAGAAGAGTCTTTATCCCCATCAGTGACACCTGGCTGTGGCAGAGGGGGTGACCCTGGTTGCCTGAAACAGGGGTCCGTCTGCTCCAGCCGGCAGCAGGCACCGTACGTTCGCGGATGGCACAGAGATGATTAATATATTACATGGTGTTCTTAGAACAGGTAAAACATCAGGCATTAAGTCTACCCTGTCTTTACGTATTTGTGGTGGCTGCCTATGACTGCAGAGCTTATCTTAGGTTTAAACATTAATTCCAGCCCTCTGGAAAGTCTGTCCCAGCACTGTCCTGCTCCAGACGCAGCTCCCAATGTCAGGCGTTGGGGAAATTTTGAAAGCGGTCGATGATTTTGGGCCGTTTCAGAAATGGCTGGTGCTGCTCACCTTGTTTCCCTGCCTCAGTGTGGCTTTCCACCAGTTTTGCCAACTTTTTATGGTTCCACACGTGCCACATCACTGCGACACCAGCTGGATCCGTGCCACGGGCCCCAACCTGACGGAGGAAGAGCAGCTGAACCTCACCCTGCCCCGGGACGCGGATGGGGTGTACGAGCAGTGCTCCATGTACTCGCCGGTGGACTGGGACCTCGACTCCATCATGGCGCATGGCCTGAACGCCACGGAGAAATGCAGCAGTGGCTGGGTGTACCCCTCAGCACAACCGCCGTCCCTGCTGACCGAGGTCTGTAATCGCCTTTTGACGTGCCAGGGATGTGGAAGGGAAGGGACACTCAAATGGCTGCCCTGTCCTGCGGTGCTGTTGAAGCTGTTGCCAGCCATCGTGCAAATGGGCTGTGCTGAGACTTACATCAGGTGTATTTTGGGGACCTTGGCTCCACCACCCGGTCCCCGGGGGGCGTTCTAGAGAGGTTGACTGCAGGCAGGCTGCAATATGGATTTCCATGGGGCCACAGGCAAAGCCAGTGGAGAGACTAATCACTCCTGGTGGGACCTTTTGGGTCTACTTGCCCCAGCTGGCCCTCTGCAGACTGAGGGCAACCTTCAAACTTGTCCCTGTGCCCCGCTTTGTGCTTCGGACATGCTGGCCAGGGGAAGGAGGCAGGGCTCAGAGCTTGTTTCTGGTCCCACACACACTGGGGAGCTGTCGGGGTGAGCGGCTGTGGGGTGTCTGTATCGGGGTCTCAGCGTGGAGTCTCCAGCTCAGGATTGTCACAAACAGATTGAGTTCCGCCTCGCTCTGTGTGGAGGTAGCAGGTTTGATGAGGAGAGGAGACCTTGCAAAACCACAGATCTGAGTGTCACCAGGGGCTTTGGTAACACCAGAAATGCTGCAGTGAGTGATGCTAAACTTTTTTCAGTGCTTTCTGACCTCTCTGTATTTCCTATACCTGATTTTCCCTGTGTGACTCTTTGTACAGATGCCCTCTGGACACTCGCAGCTGCAGAACATCCCTTTAACAGAAACTGCTTGGCCCGGGAATCTGTGTTGCACTCATCCTTTTTCCTTTGGGAGAGCAGGCAGTCTAGGAGAAGCAACGGGCTGGAACTTCTGTCCCAAGTCCCACTTTAAGCAAGACTTCCCAACCAGGAGGCTCTCCTGGGGGTGCCTGGGCTGCGGGAGGAGTCCTGCAGGTCCCAGTGCTTGGGAGAGGGGCACCACTGAGTGCCCCCCGGGCTTGTCCCACCTCTGACTTGTGTGCCATGTGCATACCATGGAGACTCACATCCTTGGAACTGGGATCAGAAAGCATCTGGAGCCTGTTGAGAAAAAAAGCATCTGTGTTTCCTTCCTCCAGTTTGACCTGGTATGTGACAGGAAGGAGCTGAACGACATCTCCCAGTCCATCTACATGCTGGGGCTGTTCCTAGGATCCATGATCTTTGGGCCACTCAGTGACAGGTGAGGAGACACAACCACCCGTCCAGGGGCTGTGCAAAGCTGGTGGTGTGCAGAGCGGCGCGCTGCTCCCAGCCTGGCTGGGCACTGCACCCTCTGCATTTTATCACCGCTCCTCACTGATAGGGACCCTGACCAAAGTCCTCATGTCCCGTGAGGACATGGCCTCACAGTGGGTGGATGGGAGAAGGGCACAGCATGTGTGCAGGGTGCTTCACATGTCAACCCAGAGTGTAGTCTCAGCCTTATCACCCTCAGGATAGGGCGATACAATCACTGTGTAACCCACTGGGCTCTTCTCCATCTCCACCGGGTCTCTCCAGATACTGACTGTGCCTTCCTTCTTCCTCCCCAGGATCGGCCGCCGGCCAGTCATTCTGATCTCCGTCTTCCTCCAGGGCTTGTTTGGTGTAGGAATTGCCTTGGTGCCCCATTTCTATGTGTACATGGCTTTCAGGTGTGTCGTGGGGGCTTCAGTGTCAGGGATCACCATGACGATACTGGCCTTAGGTGAGTAGGATGTCCATGCCCTGAGGTAGACAGATGTGGCCTCTCAAGATGTAATAAGAAAGTTCTGCAAAGAACTAAAAAGTCATCATGTATGACTTGAAAAATACTGAGGTGAGGACAGGTCTTGTTCTGCACTGCCCTTTGGCACTTTGGCATCTCCCCAGCGCTGAGCGAGAGCCACAGGGAGCATCTGTCCCATGACAGTGCGCAGAGGAGGGCAAGGGGACAGCCTCCCAGCTCAGGAGGTCAGTGCGGGGAGTGTTCTGGGATATGACTGATTTGGGCCCCAGCTCTGCCCCAGTGAGGGGCTCTGTCGATGCCGACAGGAGACCGGTAATGTACCTGAGCTTCATGTCCTCTTGCAGAGGACCAGAACACCCTGAAAATAAGGAGAGGTGATTCATCTCATGGAACACTGGTGACCTGCAACTGTGACCGATGCCACAGCTCTGACTGCCGGTCTCCTCACCTGACCTCATGAGAGCTCTTCTCCAGGGGAAACACTCTGTTTGTATCAGAGGAAATCATTCGCATGGATGACTCTGAACCTTAATTCTCCTTTTCAGCTACAGAATGGATTGGTGTCTCCTCGCGACCAAAGGCAGTGCTGATTTCTCACTGCTGTTTTGCCATCGGACAGATGCTTTTGGCTGGCTTGAGTTATGGCATTCGCAACTGGAGGCTGCTGCAGATAACGGGATCTGCTCCTATATTTGCCTTTTTCTTCTCCATTCAGTAAGTGGGACATGGGCAGAGCTCCTTGCAGTGGGTGTGAGGGGTGGCAGTGAGGAGGCGGCAGCTCAGGAGCAGACCGCGTCTTTCCCATTGGAGTGCAGATGCGGGAAGGACTTCTGCAGAGGTGAGCACATCTTCCTGGGGCACTGGACCCCTGAAAGAAGCAGAGGCTTTGCTTCACATCTTCAAATGCAGCCTCTGGGGACTAAATGTAGGCCTGGAAACCTGACCTGAGGAGGTATTTAGACATATGATGCTGGACATGGTTGGAGGGAGGTGGGCTGTGGGGAAACTCAGCAGGTCACAACAGCATCTCCTGATTTCTTCTCCTCGGCAGGGTGCTACCAGAATCAGCTCGGTGGCTGGTGACAAAAGGCAGAATAGAAGAAGCTAAGAAGGTCCTTCAGAAGGCAGCGTCCATCAACAAGCGCACCATTCCACCAGCACTCCTTGAGCAGGTACCTGTAACGGCATGCAGAACTTCTTCTTGTCTTCAGAGATTCTCCTCGGCACTTAGGTTTGCAGCAGCCACTGGAGCTGAGGTCGTACGATAAACATCTTTCCATGCCCGCTGGGGATGATTTGGGGGTGGACTGTGGGTGACTCCAGCTTCAGCTGCGTTGTACAGGGATGGGGTCAGGGAAGAGGCACAGGTTCTGCTGAGGCTCAGCCTGGAGCTTTCTGGAGTCCACCTTGGGATAGGGAAAGGACTCAAATGCTTCTCTGGCTTTTCTTCTGTGAGGATTTCAGGAGTGATGAGGAGGAGCACAAGGTCTCTGTTTAGCTTGTGGTTTTCCATGCATAACTGCCTGAAGGCGGGTTACCTCCTTGCCCACCTCAAAGTCCCTACACTGGGGAAATGTTCATCCCGAGGAACCTCTTGGTCACCAAACTAGTGCGGTGGACACCCAGAGCAGATTCAGGAGCCCAGCCCCACTGGGCTGCCCTCCCTCCCAGAGCAGTTTGGGGTCACAAGCCTGTCCTGCCAAGGCTTTCCTTTGACCACAGATGGGAAGAGAAATAGCCAAGGATTTCCTATGCCATGGTTTGACTGTTTGGCTTTCTGCATTTTGAAGTTGAAGCCTGAGAACCAGACCCAGTCTGGAAGTACTCTGGACCTCTTTCGTAAGAAGCACCTCCGGAAGGTGACTTTAATCATGTCGTGTGCCTGGTAAGACATCCCCTGGTCCCCTCTTTCCAAACTTCTAGGTGATGAAAAGAAGAGATTGATGGTTAGTCATAACTGTAAATTCACCTTGTGGGTTTTGGGTGTTATGGATGGGTGTTTCTCTTTCTGGCTATTCAAGATGCTATGTGGTTTGTGGGAAAGGTTAGAGCCATCCCAGCTTTGGCAGTCCTGTGGGATTCATTTGGTTTTATGTCCGCTTGGAATTGACATGGCTTGGTCAAAATATTGTCACTGGAGATCAATATTGTGTTTGCTCATGACAAACAGATATGCTCAGTGCCCCCCTGCCCGGCTTTCAGGTTTGTGAACAGCCTTGTCTACTACGGGCTGAGTCTGAACGTGACAAATTTTGGTCTGGACATCTACCTGACACAGCTTGCGTTTGGAGCAGTGGAAATCCCAGCCCGTGTTGGTTGTATCTTCATGCTTCAGTGGTTTGGGAGGAAGAAAACCCAAGCTGTTCTCCTGCTGCTGAGTGGCCTGGTGTGTCTGATCATCACTGTCATCCCTGAAGGTGAACAACTTCTTCCCATCCTGAGAGGACAACCTCTGGGACAGAGAGGCACAGAGCCCCATCTCTTTTTTTTGCTGGTGTAGGTCCTGTCCTCCCAACCAGACTGGCTCACATCTCTCAGGGCTTGAGCTGACCCTGGTACCAAGGCCACAAAGGACTTGGTTAACTCCCCAAGGACCATTCTGATCAGAAATCTTTTGCTTGCTGATTGCAATAGGAGAGGGTAGAGCTGAGCCTGTAGGCCACTTATTAGCAGAGTTGTCCTCTGGGAAAATTAATACATGGGGAGGTGAGCTGATGGATGCAAAGCACACTGAAAGGGGTCCCCAGGCCAGAGCTGCTCCTTGGTCCATATTCAGGCACTGTTCAGAGGTGATGGCTCTCTGCAGGAGAAACAGTTGTTGCCATGCATCCCCAGCCTCCATCCCCCAGTGGTGCTGGTCCCTCACTCATCCCACAGTGGTGGTCTCTTCTTCTCCCCTCAGACCAGCCTGTGGTGACCACCATCCTGGCCACCGTTGGCAAATTTACTGCCTCGGCCTCCTTCTCCACCTCCTATGTCTACTCCGCAGAGCTCTTCCCCACCGTCATCAGGTGAGATCTCCCCACACATCGGGGCTTCCCTCCACCATGGCTGGTGGCAGTGGTGGGGCAAGACCCTTGTGGTGCCCATGGCCACACTCAGTCCCACAGTGGCCCAGGGGATGCTGAGCCCTGCCTGCACCTCCCACTGCCCCTCACTCCCCCAGGCAGACTGGCGTGGGGCTGTGCTCGATGTCGGCGCGGGTGGCAGGGATCATGGCCCCACTGATCCGCCTCCTGAGCCAGTACCACCGGGCCATCCCCATGGCCATCTTCGGGAGTGCCCCTGTGGTGGTGGGGCTGCTCTGCTTCCTGCTGCCTGCTGTTCCTGTGCTGCCCCTCAGGAAGGGACATTGGGTGCCGGCGCCGCGGGAGGCCATCGGCATTGCATGGGCTGGGGGTGTCTTTGAGGGCTTACAGTGGTGGGAAGGCAAGGAGTGGGGCTTCCCAACTGTGGAGGGAAGTAAGGAGGCCCCATAACCCTGCCCACGGTGATCGTCCCTTCATTCCTGTCCATGGGATGGAACAACTCTAGGAACGGCTGGTGCTTTGCTTGCCTCACCCTGAGCTCCCCAGGGAAGGGCCGGTGCCTCGTAGCCATGTCCTCTTTTGGCCTCATGTAGCTCCCAGCACCCCATTGCCCATGGGATTAGGTAGAATTGCACCCTGACATTTTTGTTGCCCTGCTGGGAGAAGGGTGTCCATGAGGGCCCAAAGAGCGAGTGGTGAATGGGAAGTCAGGTTGCTGGAGGCTGCATGGCTTGGAGAGGCTGCTGCCAGCTTGTAACAGGTCTTATTTTACTTTCCCTTTCATCAGGTCTGTGAAAATGCCAACAGCAGCCCTGAAAATGGACACGTGAAAGGAAAAGATGGTGGCCAAGACAAAGACTACACAAAGACCACTTACTTCTAGCTGAGCCTGCAAGCAGCTGTAATCAAAGGTGGCCTAGTGCTGTGCTAGCACTGAGGACAGGCAGGGTCTCCATTGGCAGGACACCACCACTTCTCAAGCCGTCATTGCCACTTCTTGTCTTTCCTTTTCTTTTTTTTGCCTTCCTGTATCTCCCTCTATAGCTTGTCCTCAGGCACTGCATGCTCTCTCTGGTGTTCAACAGTGCCCTCGATGGAGAAAACCTGATGCTTTTCATTTAAGGAAACAAAGCAAGAAATCAGAAACTAGGATGGATGCAACATTTTTCTCTTCCTTTTTTTCTGTCCCATCTCCAGGAACGTGAGACTGTAAACTTTAAGTAAGACACCTGCTAGAGCGTTGAACAGACTTGCAAAGGAGTGCTGTGCTCACTAAAGAGAAAGCCAGAGCAGATGCAACACTGAAAACAATCTCACACTTGCAATAAGGAGTGATTTCCCTTGACTGTCTAGCACGGTCTTCTCACCCTCTCTTAAAAACACTCCTTTTTATTGTTTTTTTTTTTTTAAATTTGAGGCACTCAGCTGAGAAAAAAAAAAAAGATGTGATGGAAGAAGCAGCAGGCAGTGAGCAGAGATGTCTAAAAGGCAGCAGAATTTTCGCCTGAGTGCTGGTGGCTTTGGATGAAAGCATGTCATGATGCTGTGTGCACAGAAGATTGTGCTGTCGGGCTGTGGCGTAGGACCACATTAATTTGTCTGTTCCAGGAAACTGAGAGATGTTGTGGCAGTTGGTCGCTTAGAAGAAAGTGGACATCTTTCTGGGAACTATTTGGTCTATTCTACTATGTTCTATTCTATTGCATCTCTGTCTTTAAATCATTTATGACCACTTTTGTCTTATACTATGAAAAATCTCTATGCTCTTTTCTTGCACTTGCCCTCCTCTTATCTCCTGTCCCTCAAGATGGCTTTCTTCTTCCAGAAGTTCTACAGTGATGGTGTTCCAGCTTAGACTGCGTACAGCTCAAAAGCTATTTTCTGGTAGTGTTAAGAAATTTTTAAAGGAGACATTATTTCTTCTCCCTTTTGTCCTGCCTGCATGTTTTCCAAGGTATCTCATGGATATGCAGTTTGGTGAAGACAGAGCTTTGGATAAAATCAGTGATATATGACAATGCCCCATCAGGAGGGGCTGCCTGTGGTGCCATCTTCTCTCTGGCACTGCTTTTCAAGGGATTTGCTGTGGTGCTCCTGTTCAGTGGCCACAAGTACAGAGGAGCTCGGTCCTTTGCCCGAGGGCACTCTTTCTTTGGCAAAGGTGAGAGGCTGCCTCCTTCAGGCTTTTATGGAAAATAAGGCACCGAAAGGTAAAGGCTGAGGGAAGAACTTGGAGCAAAATGCACAGTTATTGAGTGAACCACGGCTCCTTTCAGGAAATCTGCTCTGAAACGCTCTGTTCCAGCTCACTTCATAAATAAAGGTGTCCAGGCACATCTGATGTACTTCTGCTTCTGTCTCATTCATGCCTCCAGAAAGCCAAAGATCCATTTCATCTGCTCTTCTCTAGTCCACTGCACGTGATTAGTTTGAAGACCACTGGGTGGTGCACTTTTGGCTGAAGAGCACCTGAATAGTTTAATCACAGAATCACAGAATCATAGACTCCTGGGGGACACCACTTGTCACCAATCTCCATCTGGACATTGAGCCATTGACCACTACCCTCTGGATGTGATCATCCAACTAATTCCTCATCCGCTGAACAGGACACCCATCACATCCATATCTTTCCAATTTAGAGAGAAGGATGTTGTGGGAGACTGTGTCAAAGGTCTTACAGATGTCCAGATAGATGAGATCCATAGCTCTTCCCTTGTCCACTGAAGCAACCACTCCATCATAGAAGGCCACTAGATTGGTCAGGCAGAACTTGCCCTTGGTGAAGCCATGCTGGCTGTCTCGAGTCACCTCCCTGTCCTCCATGTGCCTTAGCACAGCTTCTAGGAGGATCTGTTCCATGACCTTCCCAGGCACAGAGGTGAGGCTGGCAGGTTGGCAGTTCCCATGGTCCTCCTTTCTACCCTTTTTAAAGATGGGTGCAATGTTTCCTTTTTTCCAGTCACTAGGGACTTCACCTGACTGCCAGGACTTTTCAAATGTTGTGGAGAGTGGTTTGGCAACTACATCAGCCAATTCCCTCAGGACTCTGGGAGGCATCTCGTCAGGTCCCATAGACTTCTGTATGTTCAGATTCCTCAGGTGGTCACGAACCCGATCTTCTCTTACAGTGGGAGGGATTTTTCTCCCCCAGTGCCTGCCTTGTGGTCCATCCACTTGAGAGCTGTGGGGAGACACATTGACAGTGACGACAGAGACAAAAATGTTGTTGAGTACATCAGCCTTCTCCTCATCTGTTGTTACCAGTTTGACAGTCTGGCTCATCAGGGAAAGTACACTTTCTTTGACCTTGTTTTTTGTCCTGGGTTGAGCAATGCAGACTAATTTCTCTTTTAATACTTGGGAAGACTCCATTTTGGAAGACTCCATTTTAGAAGACTCTCATCTGAATTTGTAAAAATATTTACTTTATAGCCAGCTATGGTGTGTGGGTTTCAAGGTCTCAGTGTTTTCAAGCTTGCCAGGTGCAGGGATGAGAAGGAGCGAGACCTGAGGACTTGACCCAGGCTGGCCAACAGGATTATTTCATACCATCAATGTCACATTCAATATAAATTAGAAAGTTTGCTGTGAAGTGCTCTCTCTCCCTTGATGGCACCAATCCAGAGGACTTCTTGACCTGGTGCTGGACCTCTGAGGCCTTCCTTTCCTCCCAAAGCTGTAGCACTTGCAGTGTCCCACATTTGCTGCCCGCTGCTGGGAGTGCACAGCTTCCTAAGGATAGAATGGGCTGAGTACAGTCTTTGTATATTTTGTATTGGTATTGGGATCAATATTGGTTCTTTAGTGTTATTAATGTTAATTATCTAGTCTTATGCATTTAAATCTGTTTATAGTTCAACCCTCCATGTTTCCTTGATTTTTCCCGATTCCCCTTCCTGGGTGGAGAGACATCACTGGGTGATAGAATGATTGTCTAAATGACAATAAATTGTTGTGGGTTTCTCAAACCATCACACTTTTCTAGCTGAAATACCTGTAGAAGCCCTTCTTATTATTCTCTGTGTCCCTTGCCAAGTTCAGGTCCAGCTGTGCCTTGGCCTTCCTGACCCCATCCCTACACAACTGGGCAATGTCCCTATACTCTTCCCAGGATACCTGTTCCCTGCTTCCACTGCCTGTGCGTGTGTTTCTTGCTCTTTAGTTTGACCAGCAGGTCTTGACTCAGCCATGCCAGTCTCTTGCCTGCCTTTCCTGATTTCTTACACCTGGGGATTGAGAACTCTTTCACTCTAAGGAAAGTATCCTTAAAGATCTGCCAGCTCAGTTCTGCCCCCTTGCCCCTGAGGGCAGTTTCCCAGGGGGTCTTATTGACAAGGGTAATGATTTCAAACTGGAAGAAGGGAGATTTAGATTAGATAAGAGAAAGAAATTTTTCACTCTGAGGGTGGTGAGGCACTGGAACAGGCTGTCCAGAGAAGTTGTGAAAACTCCATCCCGGGAGGTGTTCAAGGCCAGGTTGGACGGTGCTTTGAGCAACCTGCTCTAGTGGGAGGTGTCCCTGCCCATGGCAGGCGGGTTGGAACTCGATGGTCTTTAAGGTCCCTTCCAACCTAAGCCATTCTATGATTCTATGATGAGGTGGTCATGGCTGCTCTGGAAAGGCCCATGCCTCTTCAGTGTCTCCCATGGCAGCTGCCAGCTCCTGGCGTGTCTCTCCACTGCTCCGGCATTTCCTTACCTCAGGAAAACCCCCTGTGTGCTGAGATGTGCTGCTCTGCTGGTGGTCAGGCCCACTCCAGAGCAGTTCCCCTCGGTGAGTTTGAGTGATGATGTTT